TGATTGCCATAAATGCTATCTTAGATACTTTCTCTGTATATTTCATGTAACTCATTTTATCATATTGATGTGCACCTGTGTGTACATTCATGCAAATTTTAATCACTTTCAATAAATGAGTTAATTTCTGGTTTACGCTGCTTTCATATTCATACTATTCACAATAGAAATTCTTGGCAGTATATCTCTCCAATCTTGGCATGTAGATAGAAGCGGCAAAATAAATACGATATTTATTGATAGTCTTGGTATATAGATAGAAGCGGCAAAATAACTGCTACATTCATTGCTAGTCTCGACATATAGATAGAAGCAGCAAAATAACTGCTACATTCATTGTTAGTCTCGACATATAGATAGAAACTGCAAAATAAATACTATATTTATTGATAGTCTTGGTATATAGATAGAAGCGGCAAAATAACTGCTACATTCATTGTTAGTCTCGACATATATATATAGAAGCAGCAAAATAACTGCTACATTCATTGTTAGTCTCGACATATATATAGAAGCAGCAAAATAACTGCTATATTCATTGTTACTATTGACATAATGATAAAAGCAAAAATATAACTGCTGTATTTCTTGTTTGTCACAACATACAGAGGTTGGTAATTTTATATAGGAATGTATGTGTTGATATATGATTCCCTGCGGTTGAAAAAAGAGATTTACCTTGCTTTTTTTTTTTTTTTTTTTTTTTTTATTATTTTCAGGGAAAATCTGCCATTCTGACACCAATATTGGATACACTTACAATCGTTGACACTTAGGATACACTTACCAATTACTTCTTGGGAATACACTTACAGACGTAACATGATTCTTCATTTGCCCCATCTGGTAGGTACATTTTGTTATTATTATATTTCCATATCCCTGTATTTTTACAGGTTTTTTTTTTTTTTTTTTTAATGGATGTTGTCCTATTTCGTTTGATTAGATTCAGATAATTTCTAAAATCTCATATACAATCCTTTTTTGAAAAAAAAACATTTGCTATTGATTTTTTTTTTTTTGAGGGATTTTCTTTTTGTGATTCAAAACATTTTTTTTGTTTTATGACTGGAAGTGGTAAGTGCTTTTTTAGAGACAAATTTTTCAAAACTTCTAACTTTTTTTTTTTTTTGACAAAGGATTTATTTTTCAAATGCTAACTCATTTTTTAGTTTACAAATTGTAGACAAATTCTCCAGTTTCATCTTTCATGAAAACTTCTTTGAAACTTTTCACAAAATTAAAACTAGTGCCTCGGGGCTGAAAGTATTAAGCCTGTGTTCCATTTTAAATTAATGCATATTTTTAAACATATCTCATGTTTTCAAATCTTGTTTTATTAAACATTTTACAATATTTATGTATTCTATTTCATTTTATATATTAAAAGTACTTTTTTTAATGTCTTGTATTTTAAAAACCTGTTTCAGACAATTTTATCATAGATAATATTTTTTACTAGTTTCTTTCGGGCAAATCTACCATAAAGGTCTAGGTGTATAGGTGAGTGGTTAGAAACTTGATTGATTTGTCAGATTGGTGACTTCTTGGTCATATTGACCTGGCAAAATTGTCCCACTATGAAAACTATACCTCAGGTTAGCCAAATTCTTGTGACTGAGACTAGGTAGATGAAACTGTTCATGTTTGTGCTAGCTCAAAGACAAAGGTCATGGTGACTGAGGACTGGAGCATACTGGCCTTGTTCATACTGGTAATCATACCAGATTATGCCCACTCTCTCTCGCAGAAACTCTGGGCTCACAGCTACATCATATTGAAGCACCAGTTCCCATACAATAACCAAAGTTAAGCAACACCAAACATGGTTACTACCTAAATGGGTGACCACTTGGGAATACCATGTGTTGTAAGCTTGGATGTGTGGCTGGTGTAATGGATAATGGCTCAGAATTGTTAATCGGAGAGCCAAGTTCCAATTCCAGTTGGGTTTGTTATATTCACTTACATACAAATACCCTTGTGAAAGTCTATTTAAATATTATTCCACTCTGGTAACTAATATTCGATTATCTGCTTTGAAATATCGCCTTGAGCAGAAGTAAGCATTCCTCATCATTGAACACTCTCTCCACCTATAGCAGAATGTGCACTCATATGACTCAACTCTCTGCAGAGTTCATGTGGTATTGTCATGTAGTTTGGTGAACCTTCCTCTTGCATGCTGGCTCAGGGCATCTTGGAAGAGTTGGAAAGAACTTGTGCCTTTTAAAGTGATCTTTCTAGATATTTTTTCTACTATTTAACCCATAGCTGTGGGGATAAGAGATAGCTTCATACCATTCCCAAGGGTATTTGTGCATAAGTGAATGCAACAAACTCAAATGGAATTCGAACATGGCTGTCCAATTTTTTATTCTGAGCCACATGTACATCCCCAAAATTACAGCACCTGGTATTTCCAAGTGGTCACCCATCTAAATACTCACCAGGCTTGATATTGCTTATCTTTAGTGATTGGATGAGAACTGGTGCTTCACAAAAAAAAAAAAAAAATCATCTGCTTCATTCTTTTCATATTTTTTTAAATTTAAAAACTTGATTGGAATTTTTATCTTTTTCTTGATCAGAAAGGACCACAGAAATTGATTTCTTGCAAAGCTTCCTATGTTCACATGACCACCAATTCATATGTTAACTGCTTTGAATACCGTCTAATTTAAATGTCCTTAGAACATCTGGTAATTTCTAAAATATGGAAATTGCTGCTTTGCTCGAGTTTGTTTTTGAATAAACTCATGTAAAATTCATGGCTTTGAATGGAAAACTCTTAGTTAACTTGGACAAATTGGTTAAATGGTTGTGATATGTCCTGGAAAAGGATATATTTGTTCGAAGTAGCAAAGTGGTTTTGTACTACTTTAACCGAGTAGAACAATCTAACAGGTAACTGTAATGCACTGGTCCTTGTTGTAGTGGTAGGCAATAGGTGAAGACTATAGGCGTCGTCACTAAGTGCTGTCCTTCTTGTACCTCCAAATCAGTCTGTATTTATGGCTGACACCAGCCAATCATATTACTGTGAGTGAATTGAATAAAAAATAAATAAATTTCAGGTAAAAGCCTGCTCATGAAATTTTCTTCTCCACCTTGAAATGGGAAAGCCATTTCTGTGCCATTCTGTTGGTAATGAAATCATTTCCGCTACACAGCACAAATGTCTTGAGCAGTTCTGTGATCTTGATTAAAAGCAAAGAGAAGATGTCAAATATTCTCATTCTTGTCTACTTGGCATTTCAACTGAAAGGGATGCTAATCTGAAACTTTTATCTAATGTTATTGAAATTTTATTTCACAGGATGACCAGAGTTAGTAACAAGCAAAAATATGCTGCAAAAGATTATTCTTCAAGATCATTTGCAGAACATCAGAAAAAAAATCAAATGAATACAGTTTGAGATTCCTTTATTTGAAATTCTTGGGACTGAATGTTCTTTGGTTTTCAGTTTCTATCAGATTTTAGAATACAGGTTATTTAATTTGTATATATCATCTATAGAATGGGGATCTTGGGAATGGAACCTGAGCATAAACACAATATCCCTTTACATTTCATAACACAGCTTATACATATACCTGGAAGTATATATGTATACCCTGAAAGTAGTTTTATATAAAATTTAATAAATTTTGTGTACATACAGATACAGGTAATGATGCTAGTCATGTAATGCTCACATGGATTTTTTAAATGGTGACATTAAGATTTCACATAAAAGTAATGTTTTGTACTTTCTGTACATGTAAAGAGAAATCATGTTTTTTTTGTACAAGAAATATATAAATGCAAAATCAAAAACTACTTCTACATCAGGTGTTAAAAACTGGAGGGAGAGGCTACATCATCAACAGCATAACTACAAGTGTAAGAAGGAAAATTCAGTAAGATATCAGTCTCTAACAATGATGTTATGTTTTGATTAAAATGTTACATACAGGTGGAGTGTTTGTATAATAACAAAACATGGATTCTGATTACAGTTGTGTAATGAAAACTGAAAAAAAGTCAGCATTTTATTTGTAATGCTGCAGTGCAATAATCGGGCTATGGGTAGCCATGTTACTTTCTGAAATTTTCCATTTTTGGCAAGTCAATCAGATTTTAAAATAGAACCTTGTGGAATCTTCCACAACAAACCAGCCTTACCTCTTTTTAGGAAATGCACTCTTCCTATCTGGTAAGTAACATCCTACTTTCATACAAAATATCAACTAGAAACCATTGGTTAATCACCTTCAAATTAGCTTGTTGATTGGTCAGTTCTGACCAATCAAAATCGCCTGCACGCAACAAATCTGTTTTACAGCGTTTTCCATCTGAACCTCCCATGTGATGTACGAGTGACATAGATTAGTTAGGCTTGAGTCAGGAAGAGCAGGTACAGAGATAGAGAATATCACACTTGTTGGGTTTATATAATGGTCGTATATCTCAACACACCACCAAAATGTGATCATAAAGGAACTCCAATCAGTCATTCACTTTTGAACTGACTGCTCGGTTGAACTCTCTTCCTACGAACGGAAGGAGGCTCCGCCGAAGGATGGAGTCTCCTTTGGGGAGGTAAACCGGCCCTGAACCCGTTTATACGGGTTCAATGGGCATATTTTTGGCCGAGCACATGGGCTCGGAATGCCAAGGTTAAAAAGGCCTTGTGCCACATAACACCCTCGTGGGGGGGGGGGTGACTCAATATCGTAAAGGAACTCCATCTTGACTGATAAAATCAGACGTTAAATAAACAATACTCAATTCATGCAAGTATTATTTCTGAACTCTACCTAACTTGTTTAGACAATTCCAAACACTCAATCTTCTATTACAATTTAATATTACTTCCTCATAATATGAACTTGGGTACAACTATTTACCTAGTCAAAGAGACACAACTCTGTCTAGCCTTTTCACTCAGTATTCATGCATGTATACCAGACACTAATAAATTCAATTGTTACGTTTGAAACAATATATTTGTGAATCATTATTTCTCCTTTCTTGTCTAACATCAAGAGCTTTTGATCTTCACAAAATAAATAATAAAGAAATAGGTCTTATTTGGAAAGTACATCTGAAGGTGGCCTTGTGCCAGCCTTATCTCCAGAGAGAGAAATAAACCAAATATGTTCAGCCCCCCTACAACCTCATGTTTATTTTAACCTTCAGCAGAGTGTGTATGATGAAGTTTATACCACAATGTTCTTGCAGGTATTTATTTTTAATTCTTTCACCCTGTTATGGGTGTAACCTCTTTTGTTGTGAGGCATGTGCATTTTTTCAGTAAATATTTAATGGCTCCTAGTATATTTGTCCCACAAACAATATTGACGGACTCATGTGAGTCTGGGCTAAAATAAGATCCATTTAATATATTTATGAATACTTGTTTATTTAAATTTCATGTTTTGTATATGTTACAAAAAGAAAAATGAAGTGAAAGTTGTGAAGAGTTCAAGGCAACATTCAATCTATGCCTCTGAGGTATTTACATGCCAACAGAATGAGAAATGAATGTCTTGTTACTGCCAAAGTCAAAAAGGAAAGAGGAAAAGTCTTTCAAATCTTGCACCACCTTTAATTATCATCCAAGGGTGATAATTCAATATCTTACTGCCTGTGATTATCATCAAGGAGAGGTAATCATTGTAGAGTAGTTTTCACAGTGGAGGCTTGTATTTCACTAAGTCTGTCCTAAAAGAGTCCGACGTACAAAACGTTAGGAACTTGTAATAAGAGTTAATGACGCAGCAATCTAGTTGTGATGGTTGATACTTCAATGTCTGACATCGACTGACTCGCTCAACACCACTGAGCCCAACTGGCGACCACTACTACTACTACTACTTATTATGTGTGGGAGAGTCTATTAATAATAGAATAGGTACGTTCAGGTATGACTGTAATCCAACAATCTCAAGCAAGGCGATAATGCCACTAAGATGCATGGGCTTACAGAAAGTAAAAGATAATGAGAAGACTTTAGTGAGAAGTGAGAAAAGATGGCAATTGATGTTGCATTGAAATTTTTGTAGATTGTAGATGGCAGTGAAACAAGAAATCAGGAAGGACTTCCACAGTCAAGAAGTGTGAAAAGAGAAGCTATTAGAATAGAAGTGATATAGTTGTATGTACAACTGAAATTACTATTTAAGCCTCATATTTTGCCAACAGCTAATTCCAAAAGCCAGAGTCTACAACAGTCAAAACATCATGAATATGACAATAAAGATGACGATATAAGTCTGAACAATGTAAATATTATTAATAGTTACAATACCTCATCTCAGAAATATAGACAGATCCTGAATAAGACCAGATTGTAAAATGGCCGAAACATTGTAAATATGTCAATAAAGATGAAGACAATAGTCCAAATAATGTAAATAGTATAAATAGTTACAACTAATAAATATAGACAGATCCTGATGAAGGATGGAGTACAACTGCTGAAATATTGTGAATAGGACAATAAAGATGAGGACAACAGTGTAAATAGTTACAATACCTCATCTCAGAAATACAGACAGAAATTTGTATTTACATACATAGACAGTTTTATCATATAGTCATCTCTGTAAAAATCTATATGTCTATAAACACATGAATATGTATAGGAATATAATAGATATGTATATATCTCCAAGCATAAAGTTGCTCCAACCTTCAGGATGCATGTTAGTCTTGACTTGCAGAATTAGAAACAATTTTTTTTTTCTGAAATTAATTTCAAATATTTATTCTGCCTCATACAGGCCTCAGGTTAAATCGTATTTGATGTCTACTTTACCTATATTTCTATGCTTATCGGCATCAGAAAAAAAATAAAGATAGATATAGAAATGTATGTGCTATCTATGGTGTTGTATGACACTGTTCAACCATTACAAGACATGCACACACATATATATATATGCATATAATTTTAAAAAGAAGACAGAAACTGCAAATGTTTTTGGTTGTAATATCAATTTTTTTTTTTTTAAATATATATTATGCTTTATTTTCCATAATTTTGCAACATGGGTTTCGGGTCTCGTGACCTTCTTCAGGCAAAGAATGGATATTTCCACATAGTATTAAAATGAATTAATTTTCCTTATCTTTCAAAAAAGATGTTAAACATTCTCTTTTTTCATGGTAGCAACACAAATGTCTTTCTTGGACTGGCAGTGAGAATGTTCTTCTGCTTGAAGGGTATTAAAACAATTAAGACTGGTGCGAGAAAGGGTGAGAAAAGATATCTATATTCTTATCTTTTAATGACCCCTGTGTGTTCTTAGATATATTTCTATTTTTTTGTATTGTGTGTGTTTTTGCTTGTATGTATATGTACATTCCCTCTCTGTACATACATAGTGTCTTATTATGAGGAATTAGTACACAGATATATGCATACACAGATATATACACATGTACAATAAAAAATAATATATATATTTTTAAAAATTCACTTTACAACCAAAGACATTTGCAGTTTCTCA